AGAGAGAGAGAGAGAGAGAGAGAGAGAGAGATCTATGGGATTTGGGAATACATTGTAGATCTATTACAACCTGGTACACATTACACAAAGAAACAGCCCTCTAATGTCTCTGCCTCGCCTTGGTGCTTTTTTAGTTTTTTACAAGTATTCTGCCTGAATCATCTCTTTATAAAGACAGCTTCATTTCATGACGAATGAGCCTCTGAACTTTTTGTTTTGCTTGAGAGTTTCATAAAATAACTCCTTTCCCACCTCAAAAAGGACCTTAACACTGTATACTAAAGAGCTTATAAAAGTACAAGCTATTGTCCACCTGGGCCGGAAGTGTCATCTCTATCTTGTTCATTGTTCATTGTTCATTGTTCATTGTTCATTGTTCATTGCTGAATGTTCATTGTTCATTGCTCATTGTTCATTGTTCATTGTTCATTATTCATTGTTCATTGTTCATTGTTCATTGTTCATTGCTCATTGCTCATTGTTCATTATTCATTGTTCATTGTTCATTGTTCATTGCTCATTGCTCATTGTTTCAGGAAGCAGCATCCCTGCACTCCGGACATGTCCGTTGATGCTCCATTGCAATCTCCCAAATGTTGCCGAGGGTATTTCCACTGATAGTGCCAGTGCACATCAGCTGGTTGAATGTTCTTCTGTCTCAAAGGTTCAAGTTCACGGTCTCCCTGTCGACTATAATCATATGAGAGAACAGCATGACAGGGGAAACTTTATTCTAAGACAGACCTCGTATTCACTCCCTTCCCCCCCCCCCCCCCCCCCCCCCCGGGGAGGTGCTACTGTCTGAAGTGTCTTTAGGCCTTGCTCAAAGGGGAGACATTAACATATTGAGTTCTTATGCACAATAGATTTGTAATTGTAAATGGGCTGATTTATCAATGCCATGCTCACAACTGTGACTAAACTGCAAGAGGGAACGGTTGCTTTTTCTTTCCCAATCCTTACACTCGTCATTTTCCTCTACCTCTTTTTGTACGTTTGTCACACTCTTGTGGCCCGCTATTTCGGGGGTGCCTTGATAGTCAAAGCAGACTTTGTGCTGTTGAAGCTAGAGAGGTGAGCAGAGCAAGTCTGATTCCCTGTAAGGACTTCTCTGTTGATATCTACCTCCTGGAGCTCATATGACGTTATGCAGTTGAGAGCACCGTAAAACATCTCATCATCATCCGGTGCCTTGCCGACTGGCGTGGGCGATCATGGACCTCCACTTCACTCTGTCTTGCGTTGCAGCAATGGTGTCTGTTGTTCTTGCTGCTCCTAGCCATGTTGTCATCTTGTCGAGTATCTTTCCCCTCTGTCTGCCCCTGCCTCTCTTTCCATCAAACTTGCCTGTTGTTACAATATTCTCCAATGCTTCTTACCGCATTGTGTGTCCGAAGAACCTTGCCTGTCGCTTTCTTATATTCGTCATAAGCTGTCTTCTGCAACTTGCTCCAATCTCTACTAAAACCCTCAACAGACCTCGTATCTATCTGTCGGACTATCGGTGATTCAGAGCCCGGTGAGGGCCTGTCGATTGATGAGCGGGGAGCTGTGGTCCATCTCTCGTGCGTCAGTGGAGCAGTCAATAATTCGCGATCTCGGTGCTTTCTTGTCGTATCTCCATTTTTAATAACTGTGAAAACAGTTCATAAAAATGAGTGAGCTTAAGAAGAAGTCACATTTTCACTGTTTAAAAAATGGAGATACGACAAGAAAGCACTGAGGTCGCAAATTATTGAGAACGCGTTGCCTCTAACGATCGACAGGGAGGTTCTTTCCAACAACCACCTCGTTTCCCGTTAGTCACCCGTGACGTTTATATACTTAATTATATGGGCCTATACATGTGATTATTGAGAACGATGGTAAACAACAGGGAGCCCTTTCCCTTCAACCTTTGAGACAGAGATGACACTTACTGCCCACGTAGACACGAGCATATAATTATGCAAACCTCTTTTGGCTTACGGTGTTAAGTAACGTTTTGAGGACGTAGAAAAGGAGTTATTTTTTAAAAAACTCTTGCGAAACAAAAAGTTCATTGACCCTTTCGCCATAAAATGAAGAGCAGCTGTCTTTATAACTAGATTATTCAGGCAGAATACTTTGTAGATTTATAAAACTATTTTCTAAAAGCACCAAATCGAGGCAGAAACATTAAAAGACTGTTTTGTGTAATTTGTACCTGATTGTAATAGATCTACAATGCATTCCCAAATCCCATAGAGATCTCTCTCTCTCTTTCTCTCTCTCTCTCTCTCTCTCTCTCTCTCTCTCTCTCTCTATATATATATATATATATATATATATATATATATATATATATATATATATATATTTTATGTTACTAGCACAACTCCCCTCAACACTCCCCCCCCCTACACACACACACACACACACATACACACAGACAGACACACACACACACACATACACACACAGATACACACACACATACACACACGTACACACACACACATAAACACACACACACAGACACATACAAACACGCACACATACCCCCTCCCTCTTCTCTCCTCTCTCTCTCTCTCTCTCTCTCTCTCTCTCTCTGTCTCTCTCTCTCTCTTTCTCTCTCTCCTTCTCTCTCTCTAACTCTCTCTCTCTCGTAGTCTGTCTCTGTCTGTCTCTCTCTCTCTGTCTGTTCGTCTGTCTGTCTGTCTGTCTGTCTGTCTGTGAACACAGAGGGAAGAAAGCGCTCAGAGCCTGTGTACTTTATTCGGGGTTGAGCGCTATATATATATATATATATATATATATATATATATATATATATATATATATATATATATATATATATATATATATATATATAATAATATATATATATGTCATGTATTATTATTATTAAGAAACTGCTATCAGAATTAAACCTGACGTCATAGCAACGGGATTGGTGGTATCTAATTTATCGTTGCAAAAGAAGAAAATTAGAACTTGGTACTCTCACACCTATCCTAGGGTCGTCAACAAAAATTGATTAACGGGTGAAAAAATTGTTTACCTCAGAAAATCGTCCCAGGCATTACAGTTGAGCAAAACCCGGAAATCTATTGTAAGGATAACCGGATAATTCTCAATGAAACATTATCCGAATTCAGACTCTAAACTCGCTTGCCTGACCCGCTTGCCAAAGAGGGAGCACCCATTTGTTGAAGTAGTGCTAACCAGTTTGTTGAAGTGATTCATGTCATATTATTATTTCCCGAAGAGGTGCACTAACATATTATCCGGATTTTGCTAAAGCGACTCATTGCCCAGCCCTACCAGGAATAACTGGGTTAGGGACGTGTGCACCTGAAATCGTGACAAGCCCACGGTTATTTGAGGAAAAGATAATTAGAACTAGAATAAGTAGCTGGTCAGACGTGAGTTTGTTCTTTCTGGGGAAGAGAGGACCTGGCTACCACACTCGGGGGTTAGAGCAGTCGACTCGGTTTCCAGAACGCTCGCTGTGACAAACTTTACGTTATTTCCCTTTTTGGGGCAACAGTAATGTTTGGGGGTCTTAGTATTTTGACCATAGACCGCGATAGTCTAATAGAGGTTACATCTACTTTGCTCGTTTTGTTATTGCTGCCTTGCTGTTAACGATAACTCGGTTCGACAACAAACTTTTTTCTGTTCTTAGCCAAAAAAAAACCACAACCCAAAACAATAACAACAAGGCAAATAATATCAAACGAAATATAATACAAAACTGGAGTGGCCACTATAAACTGTTGTCTTCATCGGTTGAATTGTCTTTCGGGCAGGCGTTTCATAAGGAAGAAATATTATTATTGAGGTCCGTGACCAATTATTCCATTTTCTGTGCATATCTACTCAGCTCTTCGTGCGAGGTTTATCTTACAATCAACATGGATAACAGCAGTACTAGTCTTCTTAAAGTAGCTCAAACCAGTGGCTTGTTAAGCGAACGCATTACCTCAATGCTCCTCGTTCTCAACTGGTCTGTTCTGAGCGCCACCATCGCTGTCTTTGGCATTGCTGCAAACATCATCAACATCATCGTCTTCATCAAGATGGGTGTCCGAGAATCCGTGAACCTCTCCTTGTTGTGTCTCTCCCTGTCTGACCTCGGTAGTCTTGTCGTACTGGCCTGGATTTCTGTGATGTCCAACCCTTTGTTCACCTCACTAGACCTGCCGTTTATTCCAACAGACATGATCATGTTCAGTGGCAGCTGGATATGGATATGCTTTGTCAGGTTTGTGAGAATACATGTGTGCCTCCTACGTATTCTGTAAGCACATAATATGCTAGTTTAGTTTTAGTAAGAGTTTTACAGCACTTGCAACACAATAAGGTCATATAAATACCGAAGATTAGAGGAGTTACAAGAGAGTAACATACACAAAAAAGAAGGAGGAGAGATCAGGACGATAGATGTCTGGTAGGAAAGAAGGAGCAAATCACACCAACTACCCACACACAATATGCGTTCACTTATGTATTGTTGTCACCCAGTAGACAACATGATCATATGGCACGGAACTAAGCGTTTAGCCTACTTCATAACTAGAGAACGATGGAAAGGATAGAATATATCTATATCTTTGTGGAGAAGCTGTGACCTGTTGGGGATACTTTGAACAGATGGTTAGAATACACAGTGCAGTAGACATTTTTTACATTGCAAAAAAAAAAAATAACAGAGGTAAAATCCTGCAATAAAGGAATGCTGGCTTGCAAATAAACGGACCGCAAATATTTTGAAGGAAAAAAAGTACAAACTGCTCTAAAGAAAACGAAGCCAGAAAAAGCTACAGAGCCAGGTTATTATTCCAGTAGAAGTTATTGTCACTTTAGATTGATTAAGTACTGAAATAACAACAAATCTCTTAAATTCAATCTGTGACAGTGGTGAGATTCCAGAAGATATGATTTAGTCAGTCTTTATCCCTCTGAGTTTTGCCTAAACCACCGCATGCGCGCTCATATCACCGTATGCAGAGCGCCGTAAAACTTACCCCCAAAAAAATGAGAAAAAAACAGCTATACGCGCAAAAATTCAAAATTCCTACCAAACTTAAAATGTTCAACGGTTCCGAGCGCTCCTATGACCTTATGCAGTTGCGAGCGCCGTAAAAAAAAAAAACTTACCCAAACATATACCGTATTAATGTATGTATTATGCTTTAAGAATAATGTTGTATCTTGAAGCTCCAATGCCATGAAGCCTCGTGCTTGTGGGTGTGTTGATGTTAGGCTTTTGGAGGCCCCTGAAAATGAGTTTTGTCATGGTAGTCTAAATGTTACAAGTATGCAACAAGGGCATACATTATTATTGTTTTGTCCTGGAAATATTTAAGGAGTAAACAGAAAAAAACGAACATAGTCACAGACTTGAAATTTTCAGGGTGTGAATTTTAAAATCTTGTGGACTCATAACTTCATATTTGTTTGACTGGCGGTATATTTATCTGTTTGATGGATGGGAAATCTAACAACAATAATCAACCAACAGTTGAACGGAAATACAGTTATGAGTCAACAAGTGTTCAAATTTGGTACCCTCACGATTCTCAGCTTCTGGCTATGCCCGGGTTTGGGGGGGGGGGGGGTTCAGTGGACTCCTCATTTATGACCAGACATTAATTCTATATGCAGACTGACTCTGAAAACAAAACGGCTATCAAAGTTTGCGATTTTAAAATTATTTGTGTGTGTGTGTGGGCAGTGCTTGAAGAAAGTTTTAGGCTGCTTTCTTAAGAATATTCTGATACAAAAGTGCTGTTTCCTTTTTGAAAAAAAATTCTTTTGTCTCGTAGTTTGAAACATAATGATTGTTTCATAAACATTTTTGTTTCTTGAAGTTGAAGAGATGTTTTGACATTTGTACGAACAAACAATGTTATAAAGAGGACAGGATACTTTCCCAATCTTGTTTATATTGTTCTGTTATTTTTCCTATTTTGAGTGATGCATGTACTTGACGTGTTGTGTTTTCCTGGCCTAACTTTATTTCAGTTTCCAAAGAAACTAAACAATCTCTTGCCTCAGCTCCATATAACACAATAAAACACATCAAAGACGTAATCGCGCTCATATGACCTTAGCAGTTGCAAGCGCCGTAAAACCCTATACTACATACTACATACAAAGACGTAATGATATGCTGTTGCGAGCGCCGTAAAACCTCTCCTAAACTAACTAAAAGATGTGCTGGGTATATTTGGAAGCTGGCGACCTCAGAATTACAAAGTTCTATCTGACATTGCTGGCCATTATGAGGCACTAAGACCATGAGGTCAGGAACCAAATGTCCTATCTGCTCTACCAACATCGTAAGATTATTCGGAGACGTAATCAAGATACACGTAGGGCCTACTTGTAGAATTGCATTCATATAACTTGGCAGGTTTTGAAAATCAATTTTTTTTACGTCGGATTTCTCAAAACTGAGTACTGAGCTGAGAGAACTTTGTGATTCTTTGGTAGAGAGTAGAGTTTTTCCATCGTATTCTAAAAGGGTGACCTTATTTAGGCCACATATGGCCTAAATAAGCTAAACCCCCCTCCCTTACCTTATTTAGGCCTCACCTGTGGCCTAAATAAGCTAAACCCCCCTCCCTTACCTTATTTAGGCCACACCTTTATACAAAGTCACAGAAATAATCCTTTTGTGCTTATTGAGGTACAGTGCAGGGTGATTTTACCTGCAAGGATAATTGGACAAAATGGGCAACATCTTTATTGCTAATGGTCATATTTAGACAAATCCTATATCATTGTCTTTTTTTTTTTAACTGCTCATGGTTATTAAAGAGTAAGCCAACTAGGTAGTAATTTCGGATTCCTAATACTAATATTATGGGCATTCTTAAAATTTTTTAACTTGTTTTTACCGCTTTTCTCAACGTAAAACGGATTCCGTAAAAAAAAAAACAACAATGACCTTATCTTTCTTTTTCAAAGTATTGTGCATATATATGTGTGAAACTATATATTCTATGCTTTCATGTACATGAAAAAAGCTAATAAAGGCAAGCAAAATGTTCTTCAGAGACATAGATCTAGTAGTAGGCCCACTGGAATTTTTTTGTAAACCTGGAAAGATGACCAGAAAATAACAAAATTATTTTATGATCTTCACTTGCACTTGCAATTTTTTTGACAAATTATAGTCTACCTCATTGTCTTTTTTTCCCCGCATTTTTCTTCACTATTCATGACAACTGGCATGTATTGTTTTCAGTTATTATCAAAAAAGTGGATAGGCGGACTACGGGGTCTATCTAGCCAAAAGGATAAGTGGACCCCGGGGTCTACCTAACAAAATGCTAGGTTTTAGGATGTGAACCCCGGAGTGAGCGTAGTGAAATAAGTAGTAGATCTAGGTTTAACTAAGGATCGGTGGACCCCGGGGTCAACATAGTGAAATAAGTAGATCTTAGTTTATTTTATAGTAGGACTGGCGGAGCCCGTGGTCAACGTAGCGAAATTATAAGTAAATCTAGGTTTAATTAAGGATTGGTGGACCCTGGGGTCAATGTAGTGAAATAAGTACATGTAGATCTAGGTTTAATTTTAAGGATTGGTGGACCCTGGAGTGAACGTAGTGAAATAAGTAGGTTTAAGGTGGACCCCAGGGTCTACGTAACGAAATACTAGTTAGGTTTTTAGAATAGGTGGAACCCGCGGTCACCGTAGTAAAATAAGTAGGTTTAATCAAGGTGTCCCGGGGGTCCACCAATCCTTAAATAAACCTTCTTATTCCTCTACGGCTATGGTGACTCTGGGGTCCACCAATCCTTTTAAAATTAACCTTACTCATTTCACTACGCTGACCCCGGGGTCCACCAATCTTTAAAGAAACCTACTTGTTTCACTACGATGACCCCGGGGTCCACCTGTCCTAAATCCTAGTATTTCGCTAGGTAGACCCCGGGGTCCACCTTAAACCTGCTTATTTATCACTACGTTGACCTCGGGGTCCACCAATCCTTACTTAAACCAAACCTTATTTCACTATGGTGACTCCGGGGTTCACATCCTAAAACCTAGTATTTCGCTCTGCAGACCCCAGAGTCCACCTATCCTCTACAGGACTAAACTATTATCAATTTGCAATTTTCATTGATTAGCATATTTTTTTTTTTTATATTGAATCAGAGACTCGCTGTCTAAAAAGTCCACTGCTAATGTTATTCTTTTCAAAGAAAATGGCACAATTTGACTTTATGACATGTTGAAAAAAAGAGTTTTAAAAATATCCCGAAAACAACATAAAATTATTATATAGATCTCTCTCTCTATCTCTCTCTCTCTCTCTCTCTCTCTCTCTATATATATATATATATATATATATATATATATATATAATATACATGTGTGTGTGTGTGTGTGTGTGTGTGTGTGTGTGTGTGTGTGTGTGTGTGTGTGTGTGTGTATTTTATTATGTATACTAAAAGACTGAGCAGAGGCTTACAATGTAAATTCTGTGCTCTACAAGTAGAGAAAATATTAAGTTTGCGCAAAACAGATTTTAGAAAAAAAAAGTTGGATCTAATTATTCTAATACAAGTAAAAGTGATTGTTATGCTGAGATTTGTTATTATTGACTCTGGAAATACAGTTACTTGCTGAATCTAAAAGTAACTAGAACTGTGCAATTCGTTTTATTTCAATTCCAAAGCCCAAAGGCATAGCAATAATAAGTTAGATCTAGATCTAGCAGTTGTAGGCTCTCTGGCTGCTTCTAGCATAGGCCTGCTACTACTGATTCTAGGCAGGGAATCTAGATCTTGCTATCGCCTGCACTATTAAAGTCAAATATAATATGGTAAAATAAAAACAAAACTGAATTTTTTTTCAGTCAGTGCATCCCAATTGCCATAGCTGCACGTATTAATAGTTGAATAATGCGATACCGCAGCAACACGTTATCACAGTGTGCAGGGGAGAGCGAGGTGCCCGGTCGATTCGGTGGTTCGGCTTTTGTAGATCTATGCATTTTTTACGGAAAGCCCTATTACCAAACCCTCTTACTAGATCTATTAGTGTTGTGAAAACTTCAACCTCTACAGCTCAGGCGTCAAAAGATGCTGGAAAATAATAATACGTCCTGAAGTTTCATAATTTATTTTTATACAGAATAACACAGTACACAGCCAGTAGTTTTTATTTCATCGAGTTATAAAAATGGCCTTCGTATAAAAATTGCCTTGTTTTCAGAAGCAAATTTTAATAGTTCTAGTTCTACCGAATCGATTTTCACGCGAATTCAACCATTTTGATGATCTTTCTGTTCCTTTTAAAAAGATGTAGATCTAGGCCTGTCGGATGTGGCAGTGCGAATAACACTGAGTTGTTTAAATCTAGATCTAGACCCATCAAAACACGAGGCTTCGTGGCCGATCACAAAAGTCTACGGGGCTTATCGAGGCCGATTCGCCCTGCCGCGAGCACGTTCACTAAACTGCCTACTAGATAGAATCTACTACCAAATATTCTCTACACGATCTTTGCTACTACTACTACTAGGCCTACTAGCCTACATGTACTACTACGAGACAGTACGAGAAAGTGTCACTCAGGCAAAGATAGTGTAACTTTGACTCAGCCACGTAGTGTACACTCTTTTTATACCCCAAATTTAATCCGGAAGTCCATTCGGAGGATTTGACCTTTTCACTTGACCAAAGTGTGCCAAAATAGTAGCCTAGCTTTTGCCCCTCCATGAAGGAAAAATCTGGCCCTCATTCAAACCATTGGGATTGAGCAAAATTTTACGTATTGTGCTTTGTTCTTACAATATTCATTATGGTTATGATTTATAAGTTGTACACTGAGACAAAACCGTACTAAATGAGAAAGGTGCACCATTATGAAAGTGGAACGAACTCAGTTGCCTGAAAAGGGTAGTTTGAGCATGTGTGGCCTAAATAAGCTAAACCCCCCTCCCTTACCTTATTTAGGCCATATGTGGCCTAAATAAGCACTCCCATTCTAAAATGTGATGCCAACGTTACCAAAAGTTCAAGACTTCAAGAGAATTTTCAACACACACATATTTTATATTATGTATATTGCATGTAATTGTGTATGTGTATGAGTGCACGCAAGTGTGTGTCTTGGTGTGTGTGTACGTGTGTGTGTGTGTGTGTGTGTATGTGCATGTGTGTGTGTGTCCGGGCCAGTGTGCGTGTTCTTGTGTGTATACATGAGTGAAGGCGTGAGTGTGTCTGCTAGTATACTGTGTGTATGAGTGTGTTTGTGTATGTGCATAAGCGTATGTGTGTGCATGTATGCGCACGTGCGTGTTTGTCTGTTTGTGTGCGTATGTAGGTGTGTGTGCGTTTGTATGTGTGTGTATGAGTGTGTCTGCATGTTAGCGTGTGTATTATTTATGAGTTTTATTATCCTTTTCAACAGGCCAGCAGGCGTGATTACTGCTTTCGTGACAATGGAGCGCTGTCTGTGTATCATAACACCCCTGCGTGTACACAGAATATTCACCCCAAAAAAGACAGCCATTTGCCTTGCTGCTGCGTTCTTCCTTGTGCTACTGTCTTTACTCCCAGTCCACGCTTACGTGAACTTCAGTCCTATCTTCGATGTCCGTAAAAACAAGACGCTGCTCGGAATAGTTTACCTCGACAATGCTGATGCCATCGAACAATTTGTTATGATAACAGGCGTCATTGTGACTGCAGGCTCTGTCCTCTGCGTCTCCGTGTTCTCAGCCGTCCTGATCCACGCACTTATTCAGCGTCGCCGGAAGTGGAAGTGTTCCAAAAATAGGGGCACGTCACAAACTCCGGAAAACACACGGACACAGAGCAAGGACGTCCAAGTAGCCAAAATGATATTGCTCGTCGCTGCAGTGTTCCTCATTACCTTCATGCCCAACGGAGCCATGTTTCTTGCCATAGAATTAGTCCATGAGTTTTTCCCGGGTAGAGCTTATTACAACCTATTTAATGTCTGTATATCTTCTTCGCAGGTCTTGCAAGGGATCAATAGCTCGATAAACATTCTACTCTACATCAAAATGGGTTCAAAATTCAGGCGTACCGCCAGGGCTTTGTTTCTTTCCCCGAAGCGAACGCAGCCCAACCTTTATTAAAGTCTAACTTTCTCAAACTATATTTAGTTTTGGGGGCTTGCTTTAATATAACAGGCTTTGCTACTCATCTGTGGTGGATACGTTCGAGAATATAGACCTAGACTTTTGTGTGTGGGGGGGGGCTGAGGTGGGGGGTCTTTGATAAGTTAAAGAACGCTCTATGTATAGAAAAAGGATTACATGAACGAGTTTACGTAAATCAAAGGGTATCATTACCAAAAATCTAAACTATTTATCTATAGTTAAAGAAACGATCACTTCTAATAATACAAACCTCACATTTGTCATTTTGAAAATGCTGAGATAATCGTTAACATTGTGACCCAGAACGGAAGCATGGAAAAAGGAACAGTCAATTTTTTTTAACACGAACCTTATGTTTGTACTTTTGAGAATGCTTAGAAAATCACGTGGTACATCCCAACAACGAAGCATAATAAAAGAGACTGTCACTTTTACGATGAACCCCACGGCTTACATTTGTCTTTTGGGACTGCTGAGAAAAGCACCACGATAAAAATGGTTAAATGGTATGGGTTTAACGCCCCTATCAACACTATTAGGTTAGTTAAGAGGCGGGACCTCCAAGTTTAACGTCCATCTCCAAAAGGACCGAGCCAAGTGGGAAATTCGTGTAAAGTGCCTTTCCCAAGGACACAACGTCGGACCAAGCTAAGGCTCGAACCCCCGAACCCGCAATCTCACGATTACGAGTCCGGTAGCCTAACCACTAGGGGCGCCACTGTACCACGATAGAAGGCGTCAACAGCACTGCACCACCCTCCACCCCAGGCCTACCGCTATTGAATGTACTCGACTGTCCTGTTTTTGCACCATTTTGGGATTCTCCAGTCCACTAAAGTCAGCAATCTTCGTTTTAGTTTTAATAGAGGTTTTATTCAAATGCATAAGGTCATATGAGCGCCAGAAGATTTGAGGTTTTACAAGCGAGTAACAAACATAAAAAAGAAGAGGAGATAAGGGCGATAGATGTTTGATAGGAAAGAAGGAGCAAATAACACTAGAGCACACGCAAACCACCCACAGCAATCTTCTGTACTACATCTATGCTCCTGACTCGGGTTTTGTTTGTTTGTCTGTTTGTTTGTCTGTTTGTTTGATTGTTTGTTTGATTGTTTGAGCGGTGGTATGCGCTGTGCAAATACTTTTTATTTATCATTATTACCATTCGTTTGAATAAAGAGAAACATATGGACACTAGAACGGTCATTCAATCAGGGAACGTGTACGATAGATAGTAGGAAACAACACAGGAAATGTAAAGAAGTGGGACCTACCAGTGACACCCTCCAACCACCCACACAGACAGAAACAACACAGGAAACGAAAAGAAGCAGGACCTACCAGTGACGCCCTCTAACCACCCACTCTGACAAAAAACACCCGCAGAGTTTACTGTGGCAATCAAGCACAATACCAGGTGCCTACTGACAGGATCGAATCGGATGGGGTCGAGCAGATTAAAGGCGGCTTCAATGCCTATAAAGAATAGACCCGTCCCTTATTCAAACTTGTGTCAAATTTGACCTAGAAGTTACAGAGTAGAAAACATTGACCCAGGGTGGTTGGCGGGTGCTCTGGTGTGGTTTGCTCCTTTCTGGTCCAATATCTATTGTCCTTATCTCCCCTCCTTCTTTTTTGGTGTTTGTTACTCTCTTGTAACATCTCTAATCGTCTGCACTTATATGACCTTATTGTGCTGTAAGTGCCGTAAAACTCTTACTACCCCCCCCCCCCCCCTCCCTTTAAGCAAACCAACAACAAAAACCCTGAATAGGGCGCAATGCCATTGCGACAAACGCTCAGCTCACACCACAGTCGTCGTCAAGTGTCGACTGCCGCATATCGTGGTTGCTGTGTTGAGACATTCTTGAATCCTCATGTAGGACACAGGAAGGGAAACGTCCATAGTTTTCTGGACCTATCTGTAACTGTAACCACAGTCGTCGTCAAGTGTCGACTGTCGCATATCGTGGTTGCTGTGTTGAGACATTCTTGAATCCTCATGTAGGACACAGGAAGGGAAACGTCCATAGTTTTCTGGACCTATCTGTAACTGTAACCACAGTCGTCGTCAAGTGTCGACTGTCGCATATCGTGGTTGCTGTGTTGAGACATTCTTGAATCCTCATGTAGGACACAGGAAGGGAAACGTCCATAGTTTTCTGGACCTATCTGTAACTGTAACCGCACCTTCAACTCCTCACTGTCCAGTACCACATTTTTTAAACACTTTTTTTGTCCTAGAAGGTTTACAATTCGCAAATATACGTTATATACATACATAAATACATAATTATAAATACGTACATACATAAATACATGCATAAATACATACATAAATCTAGTATGTATTTGGCAACTTGGAAACACATATGTCACTTTTCCCATAAAACTACGACAGTTACAGTGTTGAAAGTTGGCAAGTGTTTGCAAAAAGATACATAGCCCCCCCATGACGGAGCCCGACATTTGACTTATTCATTTCCTGAATTTAGAAAAATTATATATTTGACGAAAAGTTCCAGTCCTTCTTTGGCCTCTGTGATTATTCCACTGAGACTTTACTTTTTACTTTTACCCGCCGCTTATACCCTTGTGGGTGTCGCGGGAAGAAAGAGACGTCTCTCTGTCGCCAGCCGGAGAGCTTGGGTCAGGGGGATGCCGTGGGTGGTTAATGTTTCCCTGACTCCATCTATCCAGGTCTTTCTCGGTCGCCCTCTTGCCTTGTTGTCATCGATTTTTTAAAATCTAGGCACGTTGTGCTGGATGGTGAGTTGGTAATCGCATGAGATGTCCGAACAATTTGATTCTTTGGTGTTGGATGTGATGCATGACATCATTTGTGCCCACCATTTCTCTGACTACTGAGTTTTTAATTTTGTCTCGCCTGGTCCTGTTTACTGCTTTTCTAAGGCATGGTATTGCACATGTTGTAATTCTTTGCTCTAATGTTTTGTTCGTGGTCCATGTTGGCATTGATAGGTGAGTGTTGGGATGAATATGGTGTTGATCATTTTGAGTTTTGTTATCATGGGGATGTTAGGATGTTTCAGTAGTAAAGTAAGCTGGTAACTAACATCATTGACTTTTTGTACTCGAGTTTCAATTTCTCTGTTCAGTCGTCCATCCTCTGTGAATATATTTCCGAGGTACTGAAAATTCTTTTGACATGTCTGAGACTGTTTCCATTGAGAAACGAAACAAATCTGTGTAGCTGTACTGTAGTTAGTTGGTTTATTTCGGGAAAAGTAATCGAGTACCTCTTTGACATTGAAGAAGAGAACAAGGGCAGGGCGAGGCGTGAGCCACGAACTCACTCAAACACAAACACACACACACATACACACACACACACACACACACACACACACACACACACACACACACACACACGTGAGCCACGGACTGTGGAAGACCTCGTGAGCGTGAGTGGCAGTCGAGGGGCAAGAGCATTGTCACTCGTCAGTGCAAGTTGGTCAGCGTACGGTGCTAGATAGGGACAGTAGAGTAGGCAGTCGCGGGAAGTGTGGATGTGTGACTTCTCCATGGACGTCCTGCAGGTGGTGATTGCTACAAGAGAAAGCACGCAGAAAACACGGAGAGAGAAAGGTGATGCACATTGTTTTTTATCAACATGGTGGTGATACACACACATTAAAAAACAATTTTATGCGTGGATTTTATGGAAAAACGTTGAATAAAGGTAGAAAAATGTAAATTTACAGTTTCCAAAGACTCTCAAGCTATGGAAGTAAACAAACTTTGGCGACCATTTTCTCGCTAATTTTACCTCTGACACCAGGCGACTCCACCTCCTTCAATCGCAGCTATCTCGACTTCTATTCAAGATAAATTGGTATTTTTTCCGTTGAAAACAAGACAAATAAACAACCTTTAAGATGACACCAATACCTCAACATGGCCCAAAACTGACGAGCGCCCGATTCCACTGCGTCGTGACACGTTTAACTAAACGTCAAAATGGCGATCTCATAAAGGGACACAACTTCATTACTCGCCTATGAAAAATTGTGAATAGTTGTGTTCCAAGAGTTGTTTCCCGTTCACCATATTCCAACGTGGAAAATTCAGAAGAGTCACGGAAATGGATGTACATAAAAGTGAGAAGACATGGAGTGACATCAAGCGACTAGCCCAGGATAGGGAAAGGTGTAAAGTGTTTGTTCTTGGCCTATATCCTGATTCTGGGTAAGAAAGGCAATCATGATGGTATTTAAACCATTGTAATATTTCTCGTAAACGGTACTCGATGTTTTTAGTATAATGTGAAATACTTACTTCACTTTTTCATCCTCAGTTGCTGTTAGATCTAATCGTCGAGGGGAGATGCAGTTTTCTATGGTAGGCCAGCTCCGCAGTACTTTCAGTTGTGATGTTATGTTTTCTTAGACTTTCCTTGACACCCTCGATCCACCTTTTGCGTGGCCTTCCTCTTCCTTTAATGGGAAATAGCCTAATAAAGAATACACTGTCTACTTTTGCTGCGTCTGTGTTTTATTTACTTACTCTTTGCTAATTACTACATTTGTACTTACTTATTTTTTACCCTTTCTGTTTGTCTGTCTATCTCTTACTCTTTCCTTCTCTCTTTCTCTCGTTTGTTCTCCGTTGACAGAAACACTTACTTACTTACTTACTTACTTACTTACTTACTTACTTACTTACTTACTTAC